AAGTAGAAAGTTGTTATTCCTATTTTATTCCAAGTTATCACTTAAAAAATACTATCCTGATAAATTGTGTCTCCTGGATAGAGTGAATKTAATTGTGGTTGCATGAGAAGTATAAATATGTACCATTCTGACAGCCTATTAGCTTGTACACAACCCATCACAGCTGCACGCCGTTAGAAAAAATATTTTTTTAAGAAGTCACCTCCCAATAAATGTCATTGTGCAAAATCTAACTGCTCACTTTTTCTCAGTACTTTTACTTTTAATACTTAAGTAGATTTTGTGTCAGAAATTTACCTTTGATACTTAAATACAATAAATAACAGATACTTTAAGACTTTTACTCAAGTAATATTTTTAGAGAAGACTAACTTTTACCAAAGTATTTTTATGACAAGATACTTGTACTTTTACTCAAGTATTACTTTGAGGTACTTTATACAACAGTGGGCCTTCTGACCACGGCTGGTGACTTGTTGTGTTGACTTACATTATATTCTGACTGTTTTCTATGGTCTCTTTAAGCTTTCTCACCATCATACATGTTGAGTTGTAAGGATTGTCCATGAATTACATAGATTTTCACCCATTTTGCAGGCAAGGAATTGAATATAGAAATCTCACAGATTAAAAACTCAGTTTTTTTTACATCTCAGAGCCTGTAGGACTTTAAAAAAACAATAAAGTTACATAACATCTCCCAACCCCCACTGCCACTAAAAAGAAGTTTACCACCTCTCTCCTTCCTCCTTTCTCTGCTCCTCTATAATGCAGATGCTGTTATCTCCACCCCACGTTATGGCTTTCTCTGTGACCAGCAGTCCCCTTGTCACCACAAATATGTGTGAAAAAAAWTTTTTTTGAGAAAAGTGTTTGTTTTTTAAGGTAAAATACAGGTAAAGGTCTGAAGGTGTTTATCTGTACACACTATCAAACACATACAACAAAATATCTCACCTGATTAACGGAAAGTGAAAAATACAGTTTAAACAAAATTGTATGAAAAATAAAAAATCATTATTATGTTTTAAAAAGCTGTTAATCACAGGAAGGTCATCAGATAAACATATGTTGATGTAGCTACACTTCTATTATACTGAAAACTCTGACTGTTAGCTCAACATAGCTGGTTAAGCAGCAAATCTCACTTTTCAGTAAACCTCTGAGGTGTGAATAAGAAGGGGAACAGAGACTAAATGTAAATTTTCTGCACTCCGAGACTCCAGGTGCACAACGGAATGCATTTAATGCTAAAAAAGTGGATTTTGCATWTGTCCCCTTTAAGGTGTCATTTTTCTGTTACACAAATCCCATGGACTTCTAGTTAGGGTTCTTTCAGTGTCATGTCATTTGCTGTAAAGTCCCTGTTCACATCCTGTGCAGCAGTGGCAGGTCCTGACAGGGAAAAGGAGGAATCAATATACTTCATCAGTTTAACCGTCATCGCAGGTTGTTGAACTGTTGTCATTGTTCATTCTGCCTTATCATGTGAAACCTGTTTGTGTCAGGTTTTACTGGCTTGCGATACAAAGCTTGATGTGGGGAAAAAGATTTTTTTTCTTATCTCTGCCAGCCTCTACCCCTGCTGTTTTATTCCTCATATCAGCTCATTTCTATGATCTATTAACACAAAAAAAACCACACTAAAAATCCAACCCTCTATCACAGTAACAAACTGCGCTCTAATAACTTAGCTGCTCTTTGAGAGAATGGTGAATTACATTGCTGTTTTCACTTCATATATCTCCACGAACACATTGTCTGCTAGCTGGTAGGCTGTTTCTGACTTATTCTTCAGTGTTTTAATATGGTTGCCATATATGCCCAGTGATTAGTTAATGAAAAACGTGGCGAGTTTTCATTCTGCAAGTTGTGAGAGACATTCCAGCATGCACACAAGTGATTTTAAAAAAGTTTCTCTTTGAGAAAGAGGCTAATTAAATTAGCTTTGCTGAGCATGAGTATATATGTGTATCTTCAGTGATGCTTTGAAGTTCACGCTTGCCTAAATAGGTGGACAAGCATTCTGAGTTTAATCCATTTGTGAGTTTATGTTTATAAAGTGCCTTTTATCGTTGTTTAATTGAAAAGCAGATTCAGCGACTCTGCATGATCAATAATGTATTTGTGGGTCAGTTCAGGCCTTAAATAATTCAGTCACTGCAACATCAGGACACAACCACCAATCTATGAGTACAAACACACACGCAGACGCACAATACCTCAGACAGGCTGCTGCTCTTTGCTCCGCAGTGCTGAAAAACCTGAGCACAAGTCATTACTGCTCCGGGAATTATGATTGGATAAAATGAAATGTCTGTAAATAAAGTGCAGAAAAAGAAAGATGCATTTTTGTTGAGATGTGCGGTCATTCATGCGTGCCTCCAACCAGCTTCTCTCAGCATCTCGTGTGTTTATATATGAACTCGACTTTGTCACCCGTAGCGCGAAGTGATGCCTGCCATCTGATAATAAACACAGACTCTTTGAGCATGACTAAGTGCTCTTGCAGTTGATTTCATTCTGCAGACACACAGTAAATTAGCAGAGCCTCCTCACTCACTGCCCCTCTGAGCACCAGCAAGTGCCTGCAGGACTCGACACATTACCAGCAGCCTCACACCACCTTCCACTGGTGTTGGAGGGCTTTATGTAAGCTGTGAGCTGGATGGGCACGACACCGACTGTAATTTGAGTCACTGACAAAAAAAAAAAGATTTGTACAAAAACAAAAGAGACAGTGCATTCACTCTATTAACATTTTGTTCTCAACATATTTTCTCTAATTTTTACTGCTTTCATAAATTTCTTTCTAAGCATAAAAGCAAAGTAGTGGTAATAAAGGATTCCATCTAATTTTCTTAGTCACTGACCACAGTCTGTGCTGCCGTACTGACACACAATTCAACTCATTTGTTCTGTATGCCCTCACTCAGTCTTGTTACACTTTTAATTGCATCTATAAAGTTTTCAAGTAGACCTTAATTATTATTTTTTAAAGAACATTTAGGAAAGTCCTGAGCCCAACAAAACTCTGAACGGATATTTTTTTGTGGAGTTTTCGATCTGATTTCATCACACATCTCCACTGAAACACAACACTACATGACACGCTGTCTGCACTTGAACCGAGTCCAAACCACTTGCTAACACGGCAAAGAAAGCTCATAAATTCTCCACCTGCTTCGCCCTGTCTGTGGTTTCTGGCCGTGGAGCTGTGTGGTGCTTCCAGGCCTCGTGTTGAGAGCAGCTCTGGGAGTTCTCCCAGCAGCCGGGCCAGGCAGGAGGTGTTGGCAGGGGGAAGGAAGTGTTGACTTTGCCCCTGTGGACCGTGCTCCATCATCTCTCTTTACCTCTCTGAGAGGATGCTCTCTGGCTGGCCCTCAGTCTGGAGCCAATCCCCAGCCRTCCCACACAATCGTAAACCAACACCAGGGAAAACAACAGCCTTCAAGTGGAAATGTGGCTCTCTCATGCACTTGTGCACATGATAACACCAACACATTAATTCTAATTTGGCTAAATTAACCATGCACACAAAATGCAGACTTCATGCCTTTTCAGATTAGTACGTGCGGTATGCAAACACAGTCTTTTTCTTTGCTTTCACTTCAGGCCAGCTGTAGAGAAGAGCAGAAACAACTGAAAAGGCAAAAGGACGACTGYCTTTAAATGAACTATTACAACCAGCAGCTTCTTTTGTTTCGTAATCAGATAATATCCACGCCAAAAGGAATTCACTCCATCATCACTGGGGAGTAATCAAGAAGCTATCTCATCTACCTTCTTACAGACTTCATAGTTTCACTGGCTGCATGTTCTTTGCCAAGAGGGATTTTTTTTCTTAATGAACACTCCGCTGCTTTTTCCGCTCAGAGGATTGACTAATTTATGTATTCATTCTTTTTAGTCTCGACTACAAAGGCAGAATGTGGCCCAGTTCTTTATATATTTCCCATAGCTGTTGGATGTTGGGCCTCGTTGCCAAACAAGACAGTGTAACGGTTCAGAACCTGAGTAAAGTTGCTCTTTGATTATTGCGTTTGGAATCTTAAAAAAAATACTGAAATAGTGTTGTTTTGTGTTCATTTGCTTACAAAATGTATTTTATTTGTGAACAAAAAATATGGCACAGATGAGCATTGTCTAGGATAAACTGCTTGTAAAAAATAACCCACCTCGATAAATTTAAAAAATATTAATTTAGTAAAATATAAAACTAATTAAAGTCAGTTGTAAAATGTTAAATCACATTGTATATATATATTTTAATAATATATAATATTAT